ATTAAATGTGTTTATAAGATGTGAGTTCTTATATTGTATGATTAGTGGGGTCATGTGTTATGTGATGGCTGGGAAATAGAGGTTTTATGGGAGTTAGAACCTGTCTATTTCCTAGGGGGAGTCTGGAAAAAGAAATTTTATGCGAGTTAGAACTTGTCATTTTCGAGGGACTATGGCAGAAAACACCCTAGTGTTTGGGTTGTTTCAGATGGCCTAGTGATTGGTCATGGATGTGATGGCATTCTGGGTTAGGGGATATCATGAGGTAACCACGTGAAGTGATTCTGGTCGATTGGTGCTTATGAGGCACGNTNNAGAGTTAGTGCTCTAGGGGACAAGGAGGTTTCCTGCATATACTCGAGGGGATAGTGAGGTTCTCTCCAGGGGATAGTGATTTCTCCTGCATATATCTCGAGGGACAGGGATCTCTCCAGGNGANAGTGAGGTCTCCTGCATGCCGATAGCTTGACAGACTGTGTGTCCCGAGAGTGGGAGGGGCATGGAGCATACCGATAGCCTGATGGACGGCGGTTCTGACTGTGGGAGGGGTATGATATACACCGATAGCTCAAAGGGTGACGACCCTGAGAGTGTGAGGGATGTATATGTATATGGGTTATGAGCATAACGCCTGTGTTGTGATTATAAGTATGAGACTAGATGAGCTTCAGGGATTGGGAGTGATCTCAGGTGGTGCTGGCCAAGTGGGTCATGAGTGTGATAAGGATGTGTAAGTGGATGTCTAGTCTAGGGTTTTTACTTGCGTTTGGAACCTCGGTTCAGACGACCCTGGTAAATAGATGTAACGTCTTTGGTCGTCCATGTTCTTGTTTGATTGTTGCGCGATCAATTGGTCCAACTTTGGGTCTACGGTTGGTCGTGCATGTTCTTGTTTGATTGTTGCGCGANCAATCGGGNAGANCTAATCCGNATCAGGGANCNTTGCATTGTTGATGTTTCCGGGCTAATCTGGTCGGGTTTCGGACGGGAGTGTTAACCTTAGTGGGACGGTATTGTGTGATTCGAGGTCGAATCCGTGTTAGTGGGGGAGAATTGTAACATCCGCGAACCAATTTGTGCTGTTTTGGT